TGATCATTCACATAAACTTATAGCACCATTGTCTGCCAACCTTATATATGTTCTTGGATACACTCCCCATTTCATATACCTAATCGTTCAGCCTGTCCACCCATCTAACCACCCATATACCCATGTTTGCCTTCACTAACAACATAGTACTGTATATGCAGAAGGGTTCATATTTGTTGTCTGTACCTCTCATGTACATTTCTATGTCTTTCTCATCCTCAGTGCTGCCATATTTGTCACTCACATTTGGTACATTGCCCTTCTTTTCACCCAAATCAATACTTACCTCTATCTATCTAACAGCGTTTCCTCTCCTCCCCTCCCACCCCTGGTAACCAAAGAAAATTTCCTTCTATAGATAAACCTTTCCTTAACTTTTACAATAACGGACTAATACAATATTTGTCCTTTTGTGATTGACTTATTTCACTCAGCATAATATCCTCCAAGTTCATCCATGTTATGAGGTGTTTTGCAGATTCTACATTATTCTTTCGCATTGCATAGTGTTCCATTGTGTGTACGAACCATAGTTTGGTTATCCATTCCTCAGTTGATGGACATCTAGGTTGTTTCCATCTTTTGGCTATTGTAAATAGTGTTGCGATGAACATGGGTGTGCATATATCTCTTCTTGTCATGGCTCTCACTTCATATACCTAGTAATGGAATGGCTGGGTCAAATGATATTTCTAATTCCAACTTTTGAAGGAATCACCATACTGCTTTCCACAATGGTTGTACCATTTTACAGTCCCACCAGCAGTGTATGAGAGTCTCAATCTCTCCACAACCTTGCCAGCATTTGTTATTTTCTGTCTTGTTGTCTTCAGAATTCTTGTCATGCCTGTGATCTGCATATAGTTCACTTAAACTGACTTTTGTTGACTTGTACGTATTTTAGCTTCTGTTTGTTCATTCACATTTTTCTAACTAATGCAGTATTTATTGAGCATCAGGAGCTCTGGTAGCGTAGTGCCTAAAGGCACTTGACTGCTAACCAGAAGGCTAGTGGTTCAAATCCACCAGCTACTTCTCTGAAGGAAGGTTGGGCAATCTATTTCCGTAGTGATACCCCCTCGGAAACCCAAGGAGGGGTCACTATGAGTGGGATCTGACCGGAGGGCAGTGCATTGTGTTATTGTGTTGTTACTATGTTATCAGTCACCTGGGCATTCAATATTGAATCAAATAGACACGGTATCTCCCTGCCCTCAAGGAGCTAGATTGTAAATTCCTAATCATTGGAAATGGCGTTCTTACACTTTCGTTTCACTCAGGGTGTCTGGCACAAAATAGGTTGCTTTGGTTGTTATGCTGTCAGTACTCCACTTTGCCACCATATTGCCATAAAAACTGTAAGGACTCCAGGAAGACAGAGGAGTGTCTGTGGCTATACTACAGAGTCATTAACTCTGCTGGTAGTGACAATGTGGAAGAAAGGCTTGGCCATCTACTTCTAGAAAGAGTACAACCAAGGGAACCCTGCTCTGTAATACATGGGTTGCCATGAAGTTGGAGTTGACTCAATGGCAACGGGTTTGGGTTTTGTTGTTGTTGTTAATGGTAGAGTAGTGTATGCAAGAAATCTGTGATTTGGATGCACAGCTCATCCATACTCTTTGTCTGCTGAAAATCGTCATCTCGTTAGTTAAAGTGATTAGTTTGCTATTGGTGTATTCCTCTAAAGCATTCAGATATTGGGTCTTTTCCTAACAAACTGTGTGAACAATTATTTTTTCTAGACAAAGGATCAAATTTTTGCCCCACTTCTTATCACAGTATATTCTGAAAAGTGAATTGACACATATAGAAACCTTGGGAATAGTGGGTTTTGCCAGGATTTACTTTTTATTGAGCATATTAAGTATCCTTATTGATATTTGAGAGTGTTCCCCTTCCCCTTCATTTGATAAGCCATCCTGTGAAGTCTTCCTCCCTTCATATGACTCCCATGCCACTGACATTTATAGATGTTTTAACAAATAACGTGGATCAAATTCAGATTGCATGCACTGAATAAAAACTTTACATCAAGGTCTGATTTGTTTGCAGAATGAGTTATAAAGACTCATTAAATCATGTGATTTGTCTCTTCTGGTGTATGTTCAAAAGTGTGGAGATCCTAGAGCCCAAAGCAGTCTATGTGTCATAATGTGTCTTGATCTCGCCCCATCAGTGTCGGCAAAAGATGTAACTCAGATTTGGTGAGTGAAGGGAGAGTCATGAAGAGTTACTGACATGGATGAGGAAGAATTTCCAGTGAGTCTTTAGTTAAAAAGGGGAGGGGGGGACTTCATAAAGGAAACAGGATATCAGGAGCCTTTTGGATGAAGAAAGAGCTTAGTGAGCCAATCTTTAGACATAGGGTGTGATGTGGGAGAATTCTAAGATGTACACAGAATTGACAGATTAAAGGAGCATCTGTGGGAGGTGGGGGAAGATAATGAATTTCCTTAAAAGAATTGAATGAATGGACAAGAATATGGGTACATCTGGCTTGGTGAGGATCCTGGTCTCAGTTGCCTGGGCAAGCACCCAGGGAAGCTGGCAAATGGTAAAAATTAAGTAAAGATTGGTTATTTGATAGGAGACTGGTGCAGGCTGCAGACTCCAGACTCCAGTTGTGATTTAGGAATGCTTTTTTTTATTTTAATTATGATTTGGGTAAAAGTTTACAGAGCAAATTCATTTTCCATACAGGAGTTCACACTAGGAATGCTTCTTTTAATACTTTAATACTTCCATGGTGTTTGTGTTGTGCCTGCCACTAAAGAGCTGATTTTGAGGTAGAAAATCCTTGGGAGGACAAGTGGGATGGGAAGCCTTAGGCCAGAATGGGCCTCCAGTTCTTGTAGGCAGAGAAACCAAACCAAACCAAGCTCACGGCTATCAAGTTGATTAAGACTCACAGCCACGGGGCAGAACTATCCCATGGTTTTCCAAGGCTGTAAAGCTTTATAGAAGCAAACTGCCTCATTTTGGTCCCATAGAACAGTGCGGGAGTTGAAACCGCCAACTTTTCGGGTAGCAGCCGAGTGCCTTAACCCTTGTGCCACCAGAGCTCCTTGTTGGCACTGACTTTCCTAAAAAGGTCAAGGAATAAGACAAGAGAGAAAGAATGTGTCAGAAAGGTGAGCAATTTAATGCTCCCTGTACTTCATTTGTGCCTCTTGCCATGCATCCTGCCAGTTCTCAACCACAGCTACACATCAGAATCACTGGAGTTTTTTTATTTAAAAGACTTGCTCACAAAAAACTCTAGTTTAGCACATGAGAAGCTAGAGTTGAGGGACTAGCACTGGGTCTGGCAGTACTTTGTGCTTTATGCACAAAAATGATACACTGGAATTCGGAGGCCAAGGGAGTTATGCTGGGGAAGCCCTCAGTTCACTGGAGTTGAATTTTAGAAGCACCCCTCCAGTCCAAGTAGAAGCACCTCTTCTGTAGAAAGGGTAAAATAAAAAGGTCACAGAGAGGTTCTTATTAAGTATGAGGTTACCATAGTTCTAGAAAATTCTTCAAGGGTTCACAGATGGTTGTTTCAAATTTGTTATTGTTACAAAAAATAATTCATTTTGAGTTCTCGTCACAGAAAAATTGTATATTAGATTTTTTGGTTCCTTTTTCTTAGGAGGGGGATAAATATAATATGTCCTTGGTAAAAGGTCTCAGGAAAGAAAAGGAACCACCCCCTCTTTTTGTGGTCCATGCCATTGTATGCAACATACATTTTTTTCCTGACAAAGGATTTTTTAAAATAGGGATCTATAATAGGTAGACCAGCATATGTTCTATGCTGTTTTATAACCAACTTAATGTACTTTTCAGAAAATTAATACCATTCATTAGTGTAAATCACAAGCTGTTCCCTCAGTGTGGATTTGAAATTGGGGGTGTCCCATCATCCTTTCTTTATCTGTATTAGTGAATTATGACCCAGTAATGGTCATGGCTGGTGGGCTTCTCTGGTTAAATAAAGAATTGGATTGGAAGGATTCAAATGCAATGCTTTGTTCTCAGGCTTTAATATTTTAATGAGCCTGCAGGCTTGGCTGCTTAGAGCTGGGATTTCTAAGTGTGTTGTTAGTGTTAGCACTTGTAGAAGGATGTTCATTAGGAAGCTCTTGTTTCAGTTTCCCAGAGAAACTCCCCATTAAGAAAGATCTTTCAGCAGCATGGCTAGCAAGAAAGAGAAAAGGAGGGAGGGAGCTTTTAGCTGTAAGCATTAGGGGGATATTGTATCAGTAGACTTAGTTCTAAAGATTTGCTTCTAAGAATTAATTGGAGCAAATACATCTCAAGGGGGGAGAAAAGGTTTGTAGAGCAAGAACAGTACTTGTTGTCCTTGCAAATGGAGGACTCTTCACTTTGCAGCTGAATCAATACCACAACTAATTATTTCTGGTTATCTTTTATGGGTTTGTAAGACATTTCTTTTGTTCAGTGTAATAAAAAACCCATTGTTTGATCAGTGGCTGACTAATTATGATAAGTAATTTGAAACATTCTTGATGAAACTTGTCTGTTAATTAACATCAACAGCAAATGGAAAATAACAACACAACAAAGTATTAGTGCATCCACTGTTCTTCAAATTGATTACATCTTTATGTGGCATGCCCAATAAACTTAAGCTGCCAATGGTTAAAAAATAACAAACAGGTGGGAAGGTCTGACTCACCACAGAGGAAAAGTTATTGTAAAGTAATACAAAGGAGCACTGAAATGTTACAAGTGTGGGGATGGCAAAGAAATATCAGCAGGTTGACTGATCCTATTGCTTTCAGAGTAAGGAGAGTACTGTTTCTTTTTGCTTTAATGCTTAATTCCTGAATACATTCATCGATGCTGATGTGAACTAAGACACTTTTAGTAAATGGTATTGTGGATCTAAAAAATTCTGGTTTGGAGTTATTGACTGTCTAGCTAGATTGTAGTCATCATTGATATTGTTAATCTTTTATCAACTCAGTGGCTTTTTCTTTTTATGCTTTTAGATTTCTACCTGGACAAGGACTGGTACTATACCCACAAATAGGAGACAAATTGGATATTATTTGCCCCAAAGTGGACTCTAAAACTGTTGGCCAATACGAATATTATAAAGTTTATATGGTTGATAAAGACCAAGCAGACAGATGCACTATTAAGAAGGAAAATACCCCTCTCCTCAACTGTGCCAAACCAGATCAAGATGTAAAATTCACTATCAAGTTTCAAGAATTCAGCCCTAACCTCTGGGGTCTAGAATTTCAGAAGAACAAAGATTATTACATTATATGTAAGTATAACTCCATTAAATTGTTTTATAGAAATAAGAATAAGCTAAATAGGTTTGTATCCATTTTTGTTTCCTTAAAGGTATTGTGGCAAATAATGTGTTGAGAATCCTTGCTGAGCAATTGTTCACTGTTTTTTGTGAAGAAACCTTCGCTGAATTTGTGACCCTGTACTAACAGTGTAAAAATAAGTACCCAAAAGGGGGGAGGGAACCTGCTACATCTTTGTAGTATTTGAAAAAGTGGATATATATTAATATACTCAGCATTTCTAGTGATGAAACCATTTTTAAGGAACACTGGTGAGATTTTGATAGGTAAATCTTGTGCAATGACTTTTCTATTCATCCATTTAACCATCCATTCACTCATTCATTTTGTATTGACTATGTGATACGAACAGTGCATAAGTGCTAGGGATTCAACAGTGAATAAGGTGGTATATGGTACCCTTTCCTCATGGAGTTACCAATCTGTAGAAGTTGGAGTTTAAAGATTCAAAGTATGGGGATTACAGAAATACTGCTGTTATGCATGGTCATAATCATGGATTGACACTGGCTGTAACGATGGGCTCAAACATAGCAACAGGTGTATGGAAAATGGTGCAGGAATAAGCAGTGTTTCATTTTGTTATACATAGGGTTGCTATGAGTCAGAACCAACTGGATTGCACCTCATAACCATAGGTAAAACTGGATTTGGAGTAAGACAAAAGTTGGGTTTATTGTAGGTTTTTTCCCTATTTGTTTAACAATTTGATACATTGTTTCAGAAGCAGCTAATAGACATCATTTAGTTTATATCCACAGCTAATATGAACTAATCTAACTAAACTCCTGAAGGTGGGAAGTCTGATGATACACAAACCAAGATTATATGCCTAGTGTGTGTAGATCAATTATTGGCACAAGACAGAATAAGAATTGACAGAAAGCTAGGATCATTCCTGGGACCACAGGGTTTTGTCAAAGTGTAGTTTGAGACAGCTGTTCATGTTGTTCAAGCAATGAAATATATATATACATATATATTTAATCTTTTTTGATTTAACATTATACTCAATAATTGGGTTTAATTCTTCATTCATTTGCTACCACAGACTTCAGTTCATTAGGGAACGAGAACTGCTATCTGCTGGCTAGGCGCCTGCTACCTCTTCATGATTAGGTTGAAACTCTAGCTTTTTAACATACTAAGCTGCTGTTCAGAGAACAAAATCAATATTCACTGAATACTTACATAGTACCCAATAATATATTACTTTTTTAACTGCATTAGTAATTAAAACAAAGATTGTCAGAACCATCACATTATCTTGTTGCCTTTTGCCGCAATCCTGAAATGGCACAGACACTGAAAACCTATTTCTAAGCCAACTTGAATGCAGAGAGGGCTTTACCAAGGACAAATAACAAAGAGAAAGAGAAAGTGGTAAATTTTGTATTTAAAGCAATAATTATCATAAAAATAAAGGGGTGGTAAAATGAACAAAATAATAGTGAAATCTTTGAAAATATGGCATAGTTGTTAGGTTAAATAAATAGAAACACTGATTTTTTTGAAGCATAACTTAGTGCATTTTTTAAAGGACTTTTTGCATATGATTGTTTACTCAGGACTGCAATGTTTAGCGTAACATTTCTAGAAAACAGAAACTGACATCGGATGAATTCATTAATACAATTAATGCCCCTGGATAGAGAAAGAAGGCCGGGGCCCAGGGGTACCTGGAGAGTAGACCTAATAGAGTGTCAGACGTTCCTGTGATGTTAAATTTATGACACTAAAATCGTGGATGCAACCTATGTCCACCAATTGGTTTTTCCCCATGGGTAAGTCAATTGCCCTAAACAAATTCTTTCATCTTCCTTTAGTTATGGCTTAATAAAGATGATTTTGTATACTCTGAGTTCCACTGAGTGCAAGTGGAATTTTGGTAAAGATTATGGGCTTAGCCTTTAATTTGAAATAATATTAAAGAAATGCAAATAAATGTTTACCAGCATCTTTTTGTTTGTTGTTGTTTTGTTGTTATGTGCCATTTAATGCTACCTGCAGTGTTGGTGGTATGGTGGTGAGCACAATGGGCTGACCTTTTAGGGCTGTGGTGGCACAATGCCTAAGGCATTTGATTGCTAATCAGGAGGTTGGTGGTTCAGACCCAACCCACCAGGTGCTCCACAAAGGAGGATGAGCCCATCTACTTCCATAGAGATTTACTGCCTTGGCAACCTAAGGGAGGTTGCTGTCAACTCAGAATCGACTCAGTCAGTATCGACTCAATGGCAGTGAGGTGTTTTTTTTCCACCGATACATGACTTATTTATATTTAGAAGCACCGTTGTATTTATAATTACATTATTCAGCACAGTAATGGCATCTTATATTTTTCTATTTAAAAAAATTCATTATACTCCATTAGCAAGTTCATTAGCAGGTAGCTGAGCCACTCCAGCCTCCAGAACCTCTCCTGGAGTTATGGTTTACAGTGTGAAAGCTTGAAATAGCCTGGGATAAAAGAATGCTTCTTACAATGGAGTTCAAGTTTTCAATTTTGAAACAATGAGGGACATTCTGGGTGGGTGACTGTCACATAGGTGGGTAAGGGGCTCAGGCCTCAGGAGTTGGCTGAGAAGTCCACTGAGACACTCAACAGAGGGTTGAAAGGCTTCCCCACTACAGTACAGAAATAGGAAGGCATTTTGGATACTTGGGAAAATTTAGGAGCCAGTTTTTCACCTACCCTGCAGCAAAGTTCATCCATATACAGATTTCCCTCAAAAAGAAAGGGGAAGTGAGAAGAACAAATTTTAAAATAGCTTAAAAATTAATGTTGACTTTCCATTCTTCAAGAATGCCATAGCCCCAAAACAACTTAATAGATTTTTTAAATTACTACTTTCCACATCAAATGATCACACAGACACACACTCACCCCCCTGTACACACATACACACACAAATCACTCTGCATGCACTCTTTTTGAGAAGAATGAAAGTATTTGTAGGTAGTAATTTTTATATTGGTAGATTCCTAAATAGTACTATCTTACATAACATGATGGAAAGTACACAAATTTAGAGGTATATTTTTAACACTTCAAACTAATTGACTTACTTTAACATAGTAAATGTTAATATTTGAGTTGCCACAATATATACAACACATGCTTAACTCCAAATCTTACTATCTAGTTGGTAAGTACTTTTACAATCATGAGTATCATTATTAACATCATTATTACAAATTGGTTTCTTTCCATAAGAAGGATTAAGAAAAATAGTAGTTTGGAATAGTGGTTCATTGCCCACTAGGGAACCATCCAAATTGGGAATGGACTGTATAGTGCTAGATGATTCCCTAGATGAACGGCATTTAAGAAGCCCTAGGCTGAGAGTCCAGAAATCTTGTGTTCTATTCCTACTGCTTGAGCTTAATGAGCTTAATTAGAAAGTCACTTTATTTCAGGGCTTCGAACAGGTTCATTCTACTTCAACTTCCTGCTGAGAATTTGTCTTTCCACCCCAGATATACTGAATCAGATCTACATGTTACCAATATTCCCAGGTGATTCCTAAGTATAAGTCTGTTCGAAGCCCTGCTTTATTCCTTTGAACTATCATTTCGTTCTCTAGAAAGTGGTTTTGTTCTTGTGCTTCCAACTAATGATTGAGGTTTTCTCCAGTTGTAAGTCATTTTATGACTGGACATAACAAACCCAATATTGGGGCTCGTATTAGTGTCATTTTTCTCCAACTGAAAAGGACAGAATCTGCTGTAAGTTCTTTGAAAACATTTAATTTGACTTGTAGTGTTAGAAGATTTAAAGTATAGTCATCACATTTTTTGAGTTTTAGAAGTAAATACTAATTTTTAATTGAAACTTTATTTTTAAACCTACTGAATATCCATTAAATTCCTTTAGGAAATGATATAGCAAAATGATATGCATCCTCATTAGTTCTTTTCATAGATGATTATTTGCTTTGGCATGTGGAAAAATGATATATATGGGTTTTCTTAATGTTTAGAATTGACTTTTTTGAGTGGCCTGTTCAATAATTAGCTTTAGGTCTAATTTGCATAATAAAATCTCCTGATCTTTAAATAATCCAAAGATGGGGATGTTAAGACCATTTGGTCTAAAAAAAAAAAAAAAAGGTCTCCTGTTCTTCATTATATTCAGATCTTTTATAGCTTTGAAAACATAGTAAATATTTTTGGTAAATTTTGAGAGCTCTGATAGCGTAGTGCCTAAGGTACTTGACTGCTAACCAGAAGGCTGACAGTTCAAACCCACCAGCCACTCCTTGGAAAGAAAGTTGGGCAATCTACTTCTGTAGTGATACTGCCTCAGAAACCCAAGGAGGGGTGGCTATGAGTTGGTCCAACTTGACGGCACATAACAACAACAACAACATAGTCAATTTTACTAAAACCAAAACCCACTGCCATTGATTCAATTCCAAGTCAGAGAGACCCCTGTAGGGTTTCCAAGGCTGTAAATCTTTAAAGAAGCAGAGTCCTTGTCCTTTTCCTATGGAACTGGTAGTGGGTTTAAACCACCAACCTTTTGGTTAGCGGCCCAATGCCTTAACCACAGTCCTCCAGAGATCCTCAATTATTTTATTATACCTTTACTTTTTTTTTTTCAAAAAGTTTATAAAATAGTTGTCTGTTCTGATGTTGCCCATTTTCAAGGGAGGCTCTGTCTTAGGCATAGTAAACACTCCAATTAATATTGGGAAAGCATTCCTAACTGTGTTCTCAGCCTTCACTCATATTTGTATCACAGAGTTTTCTTTTAGACACTCTCTGTGTGTGGTTTACAATTTCTTTTTAGAGGTGACAAACCAGAGCTGAAGGTGCCAGCAACTTTGGTGTGTTTGCCCTTTGCAATATCCTCTCTTACGAAGGTTCTGTGGGTTGGCTATCCAACCTTAGCATAAAATCTTTCAAAATACTTACAAAGAGGTTTTCATCACACCATCAAAATTAT